GCGCCGCGAAGCCAGGCTGGGGGCGGGAGAGAGGCGACAGACCACCGCCTCCCCGCTCGGACCTCTCGGGCTGGAGGGGGGGGAGCAGGCCAATGAGCGCCCGGGGGCGGGGGTAGGCGGGGAGGAGCGGGGGGGGGGGGAGAGAGGCGACAGACCACCGCCTCCCCGCTCGGACCTCTCGGGCTGGAGGGTGGGGAGCAGGCCAATGAGCGCCCGGGGGCGGGGTTAGGCGGAGAGGAGCGGGTGGGGAGTGTGATGGGGACCCCGCCGCCTGGAGCGCAGACTGGAGCAGGAGATGGGGCGGGCTGGAGACCCTGGGGCCGCCCCACCACCACCTTGGTAGGGAAGATTCCGGGGCTGCGCGGAGCCTTTCGCCTGGCAGCCTCCGTTTCTGCGCACTCCGCTAACACCCAAAGCTAGAAAGCTGTCTCCCCCTGTCAGGAAACCTGTTCTTTCCCCTCCCCCGGGCAGATCTCAGGCCTTCCTGGGACTCTGCTTTGCCCCGTGGCCAGGCCTAGAAGGGTTAGCTAGTTTTGAGGTGCCTGATTTGAAGTCCTCAAACGTGCTGTCCTGCAGAATGCCCTCATAGCCAGAATAGGGTAGGCTATGCTTGCTTGTGGGACAGGGTGTCTGTATGAATCCAATAGCCTTCATGCCTCAGCTTCTTTAGTACCTATCGCCACAGTCTTGACAACAGCATTAAATAAGAGAGGTACACGCACTCCATAACAAGGTTTTACTAGTTTCATTTATTCGTGGATGTGGAATAAATCAATAAAGCCTCTCTTTGTGGTGTGGCTCAACCTCGTAGTACTAGTAGGCAGATTGAGGCTTAATGGCCGAAACTAAACAGGTCAAGATCTCATCGCCAGTTGTGATGGGGCTAAAGCCTAGCTGAAAGCTGTTAGTTACCCATTCTTGGGCAAGCACTTAAACCTTCAGCCTACCCACCCCTCCAGTACCTGCCTCTGCTCCCAGCTTCTAGTTACTTCCCCTGGCAACAGTATCAGGGATGCCCCTCCACACCACCATCCTTGGTTCTACAGCCAGCTCTGTCCTTGCCCATTCAAGAGAGTTCCTGGCCCCCCTGGAGTGGCCTCCTAGTGGGGAGTCCCAGTGGAGGAAGAGGGAGGAAGGAGAAAGAGATCTGAGCCTTTCCCTAGGAACTCCAGCATAACCGAGGAGGACAGGGAAAAAAGTCTATTTGGAAACTTGGGACCAACAATCTGAGGTCCCAGAGACATATGGAGCTCCCCAGGCCAGGCAGCAAGACCATACTTTGTCCTTACTGCCCAATAAGTGCTGTCCCCCTGCCATGTCATACTGTTGGCCTGCATGGCTCCGGCACCTTTCAGTGCGAGAAAGCTTCCTACAGGAGGAATAAGGTCAGCCTTCTCTATATGAAGTAAGACCAGGACCCCTCCAGAGAGAAGAGGGTCAGGTGCTGCACTGGAGCCAGACAGCCAAGGCCTCCCTGTGGAGCCTACTGCACCCCTTCTTAGCTTGTAGCCCCAGCTTCTGGGAGTTGGCTTCCTTCATTGGCCTCCAGCCAGGATGCTGGGAAGATCAAATGAGATGCTGTGTGTGAAAGTGCTCTGTAAACTGTGAACTGGGCAAAGGCAAGCAAGGCTGCCAGGAGTCTCTGGATCAGGAGGGAGGCGGGGAGCACAGGATGTAGTTCCAGCTAGGGAGTGTGCAGAACAGTGGTGATGGGATCACCTCAGAGGGCCAGCTTCCCCATGGAAATGTGGATGGCCAGCTTTCCTGGATTGCTAGAGTTCTGCATCCAGTTCCTGATTTGCTCCCTGTTCCATACTTCCTATTCTCCAGGTCCTGCTCTGGATTCCAGATCCCCTGATCTCTGTTCTGTGCTCGCAGAGGTACACCTTGGCATGGGATGTGAGCACAAGGGCACGGGGCATGCATGCCTCAGCTGCACCTTCCTCATTGTCTGGAAGGCCAGGCATGAGGGGAGAAGCCCAGACATCCTTCAATCACACTCATTCCTTTTACCTGTTCTTCCTTTGCTTGAGGGCCTAAGGCCAGAAGATGGGTCCTTAGCTGGCCATTGCTGGACATCACTCAGGGCTCCAATACAATTTGTGCCCTGCCCAAAGGACCTTGCAAGGGGCTGGAATTCATTGTCCATCAAGCCAGTCATGTCCTGAGTCCATCCTAAAGGTATGTTGTTTTAGTTGATACACCTTAAAGATGCCTCTCAAACCTAACCTTGTAGCTTGGAATTCTAACCCAGCCTCACCTGCTAGAATCAGCCTGCACAAAGGTGTGGAAAGACACATCAGTACTGGAACCCAGGAAGGTTTCCAGCTCCTGCTTGATGAATGGGGTGCCTGAGCCCCAAGGGCAACAGATCTAGTGAAAGAACTCACAGGTGGCTTTCTTACCAAGTTGGGCTCTGTACCCCGCATCCTGGTTCCCAGGTGAGTGTTGTTCTCCCTTTTGAGCTGCCCTATCATTCTGGGAGCCCGGCAGTCCTTTTGGGTCCTATTCTGATCTCTGTCTCAAGCATTTGGCACTGGTCTGCACAGAAATCGTGGCATTCCACAAGCAGGAATTATGCCAGTTCTGTTTCCATAGATTGGGTTTTCCCGAGGACAGGGCCACAGTGTCCCTCTTTTCTCCCCACCCCTTATATTCAACCAAAAATTCAACTTCATCTCAAGTTCTAACCTTGACCTTCTGAGCTGGCCAACCCACCATTCCCACCCTGCCTGCCAGGCCTTGGAAAGGATGGGGGCCAAGGGACACCTCTGGGGATGGTCTTTTTCCAGAGGTCCCCACGATGTGCCTCCCTCCCCTGGGAGGAGGCCTGGGGTCCTCCTCACCTGTTTTTCCTACTCTTAGGTGCTCACAGCCTTGTTCCCCCTCCACAAGCCAGCCAGCCAGGCGGGCAGCAGCTGAAAAATATGGGTTTTAATTCAATTTTCTAAGATGTGGCTGAGGGAGATGGATGCCAGGCCACTCTACCCAGCATTCATCTCTTCTGAGCAGCAGTTGCCTCCGGACTCTCCACCCCAAGCCCAGCCCAACCCCACTGCTGCTCAGACAGGACCAGCACATGGAAAGACACAGGTGTCAGACAGCTGACATATACAGAACACTCACCGTGTCAGGCCCAGGGCTTCTCAATCCTCTTGGTACCATGGAATGCCCTGGGGAGCTTTAAAAAAGCCCCTGCCTAGTCTTACCATAGAGATAATTGGACAGTTGGTCTGTGGAGAGGCCTGAGCTAAAGTATTTTGTAAAGCTCCCCAGGGGCTTCTAGTGTGCAGTCTGAGCTTATGAACTGCTGTCCCTGGCCCTCTGCCCTGTGCTTTGCAAGTGAGGCTCCCAAGGAGACGTGCTTGTATGTCCAGAGCAGTGACCAGGTGGACCCTGGTCCTCAGGGCCTTGGGACCCTCTGAGAAACCATGAGAATGAAGACATCATGAGATCTCTGCCTCGACTCATGGCTTTCAAACTACCAGGAGCCTTGGAAATCCCTGATGCTACCTCTGAAGATGCCTGGAATAGAAGAGGGGAGAGAGCCATCTTTGCAGACATTGGCAGCTCCTCAAACCTTGGCCTGCACCTTCTCTGTCCCCTACTTGGCAATGGGTAAGAATGGGCAAGAGGAGGACGGTTGGGAGGAGGGATGGTTGGGGCCAGGCAGGAAGAGAACCTAGAACCCTCAGTTCTAGGTGCAGACCTGGTCAGGGAGCACCCCATTTCACAGAGGAAGAAAATGAGGCCCAGAGAGCAGAAATTATGAAATAATTTCTGGCAGGGCAGGGGCCACACACCAGATCTTAGGGACCATCGCCCTGTGCTCTCCTTCCAGAGCTGTAGCTGCTAGAAGGGAAGGCAAACTTGTGGGGGTTGGAAACTCTGAGGATTTGAGGGGTAGGGGAGAAAGGAGTGATTCCTCAAGGCCCAGAGTGCAGAGGTAAGTGCCCCCCCATGTCTCCTTCTCCTTTACACCTAAACATTCAAGTGTACCCTCATGTGTATGCTCATATTATGTATCTATTGTTACTTTGAGTATCCTCTGCACATGTGTGCAGTCTCATGCAATATGCATGATCAGAAGTGCGCTCACAGAGACTCGAGCATGCTCCCATACACACATGCATGCACACGTGCACACAGGTGCCATGCACAGATCTGAAAGTACATCATCTCTGGCAGAATAGAGATATTTTCTGTCCTGTGGTAGCTCAGGCAGGCAGCGGGCCTGTCTGCAGAGGCATCACTTCATCACTGTCAGGGAATTCTTATAAGATAGTGAGTGACATTTCCCATTCACCTTCTGTAGTCCCTCCCTAGGGATTAGCTGTTTACTCATGGGAGCCAAACGTGCAGCCAGGCTCCTAGTCAAGGAGAATGCAATAGTTCCAGTCTCACCTCCACCTCCTCTCTCTCCACAGGACTTTGTTTTCTTATTTCTACCTCCATTCCTCCTCCATCTTCTGCACACCCCAGAGTTGGTGCCTGGGATTCATCTGCTGCAGAAATGACCCCTCCCAGCTATGCCACAACAGGCCACATCCTGTGCATTTAAGAGGTGTTTTGTACAGGCCCTACCCTTTGCCAGGAGCAGGTTCTCTGCTCCATTCTGGTTCTTGCATCTGTTGGGTGGATGCCTGCCCCCTCTGAGAACTCTGAGACCTCTGGGATCTCTGGGACCCTCTGAGAAACCAAGAGAAGGAAGGTTAGATCTCTGCCTAGACTCATGCTTTCAAACTACCAGGAGCCCTAGAAATCCCCGACTCTGCCTCTGAAGATGCCTGGAATAGAGGAGAAAGGGAGAGCCCCTGTGCCCCTACCCCACCCACGCACAGATAACACAGTCACATCCAGATCCCACTTGCTGCTCCTGCAGCTTCCTGGAGCCTGGCTCGACTGCTTTGCAAATGACAGTGTGCCTCAGCCCCACACAGCCCTGGCTTTAACACAGGGCCTCGGCAAGCACAGAGCTGTGGAAATTACAGATAATTCATGTGGGAGGAGGCAGCCTGTACGAAGCATGAATACAGCTTCTCCCAGAAAAGCAGCTCAAGATAATATGGGGCCTATGACAGGCTGAGCACTGATTTGGTGTCGTGCACATGATGCTGATAATTATATTAAAAGTAGGGCAAATAGAGTGTTCTTTGATGACCAACTCTGGGAGCAGGTTGGCAGCTGATAAAACAATCCCTTGCCATAACTGATAGGAGAACAGTTCTCAGGAAAGTCATGGGGGCACCCGAGCTCTAGGCCCTGAGCAGGGATTGGGAGTTGGCTTGAACAGGCAGGATAGGGCTTCCCCAGACCTTACATAAACTCAAGGGAAAGCTCTGTATAGTATTTGTTTTCTATTGTTGTACAAAAAGCTACTATCAACTTAGAAGCTTAAAACAGCTCGCCTTTTTCAGCCAGTTTCCAAGGGTCAGGAGTCTGGACAGGGCGTTCTGCTCACGGTCTTAGGAAGCTGCCATGAAAGTATCAATGGGGCATGTATTCTCATCTGAGGCCTGGAGTCCTCTCCCGGGGTTGGTGGCAGAATGCAGCTCCTTGTAGTTGTGGGACTGAGTCCTCAGATTCTAAGGGTCACCCACTTTTCACTCCCAGGAGGCCCTCTCCCCACAGGATCAAGGACACGGGAAGGGGTTATTCAGCATCTGTCCTTGATTTCTAGACCCTTTTGAAGGACTTATCTGATTGGCCCAGGGCCTCTCAGCATAATAATCTCTCTATAGATAAATTTAAAATTAGGGATTTTAATGACATCCACAAAATCTCTTTGTCTTTGCCACATAACTGGCCTAATCAAGAAAGCAAATTTCCACGCCACTTATAGGCCCTGCCCACATTAAATAGGATGGGCTGCTTGGGCTTGTATGCCAGGGTGCAAGATCCTTGGGGACATTACTGCAACTGCCATCTTCCATGGGCCCAGACAGCCCAGGATGGGGATTCCCTGAGGTCACAGCCTGTGCTAATCTTGTTCCATCTCCAGTGCTTGGCAGAAAGTCTGTGCTCAGGAAACCTGTATTGATTGAATAAGTGAGTCATCAAACCCTGTCTCTACTGTAACACCATGGGGAAACTGAGGCCTAGAGAGGGGAAAGAACTATTTCAAGTCATGCAAAGCCACAGATGACAAGGTTGGAATAATGATGCATGCTACCATTCACTCAGCACTTATGAATTCTCGATGCCAGGCCTCATGCTCAGTTAGCTTGCTAGTTTGTCTCCTGGCCTCGTCCTCAAGCTACAAAGGATTATGATTCTATCAGACTTACAAGTGCAGAAACCACGTCTCAGGGAGGTGATGTAATTTGTCCAAAGATGCTACAGATGCTGCCAGCCCACTCAGCTCAACCTCAAAGTCCCTGGCCCTCCCTCTTCCATTCTTCCATGCCTTGTTGCCTCTTTCTGCAGGCAGAACAGACTGAGAGCACAATCAGGAAGTCAGGTGTACAGGGAGATCAAGACTGCTCAGCTGCCTTCCTCCCCCAGCACCTCCCCTCAGCTTCCAAGGCATTTCAGCCCTCATTGTTTCCCACCAGGATGAGCTCCCACTGGGGGAGAGAGGTACTTCTAATTACTCTTGATTTCCCAGCCTGGTTAGTCCAGTCACCAGGCGACTGTCAGTTTTAACTCTTTCTTGACATACTCGGGACAGTTCTGCAGAAAGAGGGAGACCCAGGCAGGAGAGGACACAGAAGGGTGTGGCCGGAGCAGGCAGAGCAGTCTTTGTACAACCACAGCCACAAGCATCTAGAGTCTCCCCCTCCCGCCAGATCCCCATGGAACTCCTCCTTCCAGCCCCACAGCACAGACAACATTGCTTCTTGTTACTGGATGAAGACCCTGGCCCACTCCCTAAGGAGCCTGGCTGCCCTGATGCCCTTCCACAGATATCCACACGCATCACCCCTCACCTTCTTCACGTCCCTATTCACATGTGCCTGCTCACTCGTGTGACAAAGTGACCCTTCGTGCCCTACTCCTTCCTCCTGCAGTGGATCACAGTGCTTGTGCAACAATTTTGGAGCCAGACTTTTGGATTCAGATCTCAACTCTGCCATTTGCGCAGTTATTTAGCCTTCGATGCCTCAGTTTCCCCATCTACAAAGCAGGGCTAAATAATAACATCTATTTTTTATGAATATTTATATTTATATTAGCAGCAGTTTATAGCACAGTATAAGAAAAATAGTGGTTGTTTATTACTTGTTCTTCACGGCCCTCTTGCTCTCTGACATGTTTTAGTGCCTATCTCCACTGGATGCTGCCTGAGAACAGGGTCTTTGATCATTGCTCCAACTCCAGCACTGAGGGTGTCCACAGAGCGTTTGTTGGGCCAATGAATGAATTCCACCACCTCCATCACACTCTTCAGAAACTGCAAAGTAAAGAATAAAAATGTAGCATCTTCCTCCCTATCGTCTCTCTTGTCACCCTGTTCCATAGCCACAAACTCCATTTCTGACACCAAAGCTCTTCTGTAATCCAACAACCAATACTAGAATAAAATCCACTAGCCTGAGACTCATGTCATAAAATTCTGGAAATCTAGAATTCGTGGATTCCTAGAATGATCTCCAGGATGTAGAGAATTCTAGAATAAAAGCCTGAGATCATCTAAAGAAATTTGCTGATGGGACCTAGGAATCTTAGAAAGGAAGCTTGGAATTTCAGAAGAGACTCTTGGAATGGGATTGCCAGGGAGAATCTGGTGAGACCAGCTGGCTCCCTTTCACCAGCTTTTTTTTTTTTTTTTTTTTTTT